TAATGTAGTCTACCCTGTTTAACCTGGTCAAAGAGCAGTGATGTGATTCTAATAAAGAATGCTGTTTGAAGGAAATACTTGCAATTTATTAAATTTCCTTCTGACCTCTGTGCAGGTTTAATCAAGCAGAACAGATGTTGCATCTCAGATAAGCCAGATGTTACCCGTGGTTCTGTATAAAAAAATTACAGGAAAACCCAATCGAGTGCACTCAAAAGATGTCCCCTTTTATGTGTTGTTGTTTTTTTAAAAAAAAACTTTGGAGTCTAATCAAAACTGGTGGAAAAGAAGATATCCCCTTAACATGCAGAACACGCTGCATTTCTTCATTTAAAGTCTTTAGTCTGCCTTGTCTATTGTTAATGTTTTTAATATCCAGCTGCAATCATTTCTTTCACTGCAATAAGTCACTGAATTGGACTCTTCTAAAGTGATACAACTTAATTCATTATATAGACCTGTCCTTGGTGCTTTGAGGATAATCTTGTCTTTTTCAGCCTCGTTTTTCAGGCTGAAACAGCTCTAAAAAAATCAGAAAATAAAATACAAGCTGAATAGTCGAAGCTCTGATCGAAGCTCTGTAAAGGACCTTGGAATACTCATCTCTAATTATCTAAGTGCTAAAGCCCACTGTAACTACATAGCCAAAAAGGCATTAAGAGTTGTTAACCTAATCCTACGTAGCTTTTTCTCTGGTAATATCACACCACTAACTAGAGCATAGAAAACATTTGCTAGACCAATACTCGAATACAGCTCATCAGTCTGGAACCCACATTACGTATCTGATATTAGCACAGTTGAGAAAGTCCAGAAATATTTCACAAGAAGAGTTCTCCAGTCCTCTACTCGTAGAATACCTTATGCCACCAGACTTGAAATTCTAGACCAAGAAAACCTTGAATTATGCCGTCTTCGGTCTGATCTTAAGTATGGTATATAAAATCATACATTGCAATGACTTACCTGTCAATGAATACTTCAGCTTCAACCACAACAATACAAGAGCGAACAATAGATACAAACTCAAGGTTAATCGCACCAAATTTGACCGCAGGAAATACGACTTTAGCAACAGAGTGGTCAATGTCTGGAATACTCTACCTGACTCTGTGGTTTCTTCCCCAAACCCCCAAAAACTTTAACCTTAGACTGTCTACTATTGACCTCACCCCTTTCTTAAGAGGTCTGTAGGGGGCGTGCATAAGCGCACCAATCATGCCTACCGTCCCTGTCCTATTGTTTCATTTATTTTTCTTATATATACGCATTTCATGTATTCATAACTATGTATATACTTATACCTATTATCTTGTAAGCAATTGACAAATCAAAACAAATAAATAAAAGTAAATAAAATAAAAGTAAATAACTCATCAGAGGTTGTAGCAAATTAACATGGGAAAGGGGGAAAAAATTCCAAAGGCTCGTAGGAGAGCAGGCAGGCAAGACTTAAGAGCACACGTGAGTTTAATCTGAAGCAGGCAAGGCCAATAAATACTCCTTTGAGATAAAATCCAGGGAAGAGGTGATAATGATAAATCCATTTTAAAATATTTCTTGCAAGTTTGCAAAGCACAACCAAGCCTGTGTGTGTGTTCTGCCGCTGCTGATTATAGTATGTTTAAACAGCAAAGCACATAGGCTTTGGCTGATCTAAAAATAACACAAAATCCCCGTTGCGAAGTAGCTGTAAGGTTTTGACAATATCTTAAATTTGCTCTCCATACTGAATCAACATGATTCTTTTTTTTTTCTTGGCTTAAATGAATTTGAACCTAGCTGATCATAACTACTAGTTAAACCTTGGTTTAGCATAGCACAGTTTTAGCAAAACGTGTGTGAATCCAATGGCTAAAAGGCAGCTTCATACGATAGATTTCAAAGAAAAGAGTAGCTTCAGATGAAATATTGATAAAGAAGATTTCATCTAACATCCGTTAGATGTTGGGTGCTCCCATCACTGAAGGTTTTTAAGAAGAGGTTGGAGAGCCATTTGTCCAGAATGGTGTAGACTAGTCTCCTGCTTGAGCAGGGGGTTGGACTAGAAGACCTCCAAGGTCCCTTCCAACTCTGTTATTCTTGCAAACATTCCTCAAAGTCCAATTGGTTTCACATTAAGCCACATCACACATGTTGGTTGCATGTGTTAGACGAACGGGCCAGTGTGGCTTGACA